ATATTACTGTGTTCACAGTAAAATAAAAACAGTGATTAAATAATGTGATTTACATAAAAACACAATGAAAACATTGTAATCAGATTCTCTGTGATTTTTTATACCATTATAAATCTTTAAGGCACGATAAAAGAAAAGAAGTGGTGCCACTTTTCCTGTGACAGTCATTACCATGATTTAACAAACGCATAAACATTCTTAGTTAAACAACAAATGAATCACGAACAGAAGAGATTGTTCTGTCCATTATCTGATTAAGAGAACTGAGGAGTTCTCTTCCACAGTTAGAATRACCTGTCATGGCCTAAATAGAGTTCAGTTTGTGACAGAGTTCCTGTCCTCTCGTCAGGCCAGTCCGAGGCCTGCTTCGAGGCAGTAAATCTTGTTTCTTCACTCGAGGTGACCCCTACACAGATCAACAGATGATGCAATGGTTCTGACCCTCCACACTGCCCTCTCCCATCTGGACAAGGACACATATGTGAGTGTGCTGTTTGTGGACTACAGCTCAACATTCAACACCATCATTCCTCCAAGGCTTGACATCATGCTTAGGGATCTGGATCTGAACAGCTCTCTGAGCAGCTGGATCTTGAACTTGATGCAACGCGTTTTCATGCCCCCCATGTCAACATATTGACGCTCGGTCAGATAGCCATCTGCGTCCACTTTCGGACGTGCCGGGTAGCCCCCGTGCGTCCGTTCTTTATGAGATGAGGCGGAGGAGGATGAACGCGTCGTCATATTTTTTTTACAAGAGTAGGAAATGCGTGAAAATAACCATCCCAGACCCTAAGTTTAACTTCTATTAGCCTTATACAGCCTATCCCTGACCCCAGTACCTAAAATTAACCAGTAGCCCTGATCCCTCATATTAACCTTTTTTTGATGTAGAGAATATGCTAGAACCGTCCCAGAACCTAAATTTAACATATATTAGCTATATACAGCCTATCCCTGACCCCAGTATCTTAAATTAACCATTAATCCTGATCCCTCATGTTAACCTCACACTCCCGACCCAAAGACCCCAAAATAACGCAACCCGGAAAAGCCGCGAGCGGCACCCAATGCGTCAAAGCTGGACACAGACGGTCCCTGCCCAAGCGTCAATATGTTGACGAGTCCGACATGAGAATGAGTTACCTGACAGGTCAACGGCAGGTAGTAAGGATGGGCATCATCACATCTTCCACACTGACCCTCAACACCGGAGCTCCCCATGGCTGTGTGCTCAGCCCGCTCTTGTATTCCCTGTACACCCACGACTGCACAGCCAGACACAGCTCCAACATCTCCATCAAGTTTGCTGGTGACACAACGATCATGGGTCCGATCTCTGACAACAATGAATCAGCCTACAGAGAGGAGGTTAACATCATGTCTAATTGATGCCAGGAGAAAAACCTCTCCTTAAATATCAGCAAGACCAAGGAGCTGATCATGGATTTCAGGAAGCAGGAGAGAGTACACTCTGCAACCTCCAGCTGTGGAGAGGATCAGCAGCTTCAAGTTTCTTGGTGTTGACATCAGTGAGGACCTCACATGGACAGAACACATCACATGGCCTCTCAGACTGCTGAGGAGGTTTGGTATGAACCCCTGCATCCTCAGGACCTTCAACAGAGTCTGCACCTGCACCTTTATGGCTCCTATTGGACTATTCCTCACACCTCATCCCTCATAAACTCATTCTGCATTTTACTTAGGAGTTACAGCCCCCTTTTTCCATCACATACTATCTGTTTTTTATACACAAATTATAATTGCAACATATAAACACTTAATTACAACATGGTATCTATACACACAATTGTGCAATATTTTATGTTTATAGTATGAGCTATTATGAACAGTGTAAGTTTATTTTATTTAATTGGAATTTTTATAGTTTAACATTTTTGGAATCTAGAGTGTAAGTCTATTGGAATTGTTTCTTCTTACCTTTTTATGTTTGTATAWATTGTGCTCTGCATACTAGTGGGAATTTGAACTGAAGTTTTTCACCAGTGGTGGGCACCAGTCCGCTAAAGCGCAAATCTGCTAATTGTGGACCTAAACATTTTATTTGCACTTTAGCAGTCTCACTAATTTTTATAATTCAAAAGCAGATTTGCGTTACTTAAATTTAAATTGCAGTTCTGCTAATAAATAATCATCTACTGGTCATCAGAAGGTATAATTGTCAGGACTCACAAAACAAGATTTATCCAACTTGGGAAGGTATACGTCCTTTCTGACTGTCGCTTTGGGTCACGGTTCAGTCGGTTCTCATTAGTAGGTCAGCTTTGCAAAGTATTTTTGCTGGCAGCAATCTAAATGACTCA